GGCAAAGCCTAAAGCGATGCCAACGCCAGGGTCTGGTCCGATGAAGCTGCTTGCAGCACCCTCCTTTGCAAGGGAGTCAGCAGCCTCATTGCCTTCCAGGCCAGTGTGGCCAGGAATCCAGACCAGAGACAATCTCTTAAGTCTTCATATCGAAGAGAATCGTTTTTGGCTATTGAATATCAATTTAGACGTTGCTCGGTAGAAACCAAGAGCTTCCAACACCGCCTGAGTGTCCGAGAATATTTTTATTGACTTGTGAATGAGGTTGGATTCTTTCAATCTCTCTGCACACAATTCAATAGCGTAAATAACCGCTTGAAATACAGTCGCATAGATTCCTAGGCAGGTTGATATCTCTGTCCTTAATCTGGACTGAAAACTCCTGCACCAGAACCGAAAGGTGTTTTTGATACATCTGTAAACCAACAACTATCTGCTCTTAATATTTCTTTCTCCCAGAGGAATATGATTATTAGAAGCGACCTGCTTTATGATCTTTATTTCTTCTTGAAAAGCCTTCCCTGATAGATGTATCATAAATGCTCTGAATGCAGATAATTTATATGATAATAGACTGGAAAAATCCATGGGGATTATAAAATTCCTAAAAGTGTATATGTTGAACGGAAATTTGTTAGTTCAGGATCCATGGATACTCAGTAATTTTGATATGTAATGTAAGTTACATGATGATTGTTTTGGTATCTCAGATAAGGTATTGATGATTTTGGTAACATAATTTCAGGTAGAGGTTCAATTAAACTACCTAAATGACATTGACCATTTGTATTTTCAAGGATTTGTTTGTTGAATTGCTTCGTAACAAATTGAAATTTAAGTAGAAATTTGAAAAATTTGTTGGTAGAAATCAACTTTCAACTTAGTAGAGTGAATTTATTAGATCCTATTCAACATGATTTCTCATGAAGAGTTAGCTTCACTAATTTGACATTAGAAACTGTACAATGGTTGTTTTTTCGACTCAGAACTTACATGTATAAACCATACCGTACTGAAATTATCAAATCAAATCATCGAACATCATTTCATAGATGCATGAATACCCAAGGAAATTTTGGAAATACAAATTCCTTTCATTTTTTTTTAATAATATATTGTGTTATGATGCAATTCATGCAGAATGAAATATACGTTTGCAACTAATGTGGAGGATTTGCTCTGAACAAATGTGTAATAACAATAGTAATTGGATCTGGAAAGCATGGACCTGACTATGTTTCACGAAAAAATTTCGACTCAAATTAGAACCTTGCGAAGTCAAGGCTCATCGCTGGTAATCAATATGTAATGATTTGATTTGATAATTTCAGTACGGTATGGTTTATACATGTAAGTTCTGAGTCGAAAAAACAACCATTGTACAGTTTCTAATGTCAAATTAGAACTTTCTTTCAACTCTACTGAGTTGAAAGTTGATTTCTACCAACAAATTTTTCAAATTTCTACTGAAATTTCAATTTGTTAGGAAGCAATTCAACAAACAAATCCTTGAAAATACAAATGGTCAATGTCATTTAGGTAGTTCAATTGAACCTCTACCTGAAATTATGTTACCAAAATCATCAATACCTTATCTGAGATACCAAAACAATCATCATGTAACTTACATTACGTATCAAAATTACTGAGTATCCATGGATCCTGAACTAGTTGTCGAAATTCACAATTATTAACGAATTTCCGTTCAACATATATAGGAAAAACACTTTTAGGAATTTTACAATCCCCAAAAGAAATATTAAGAGCAGATAGTTGTTGGTTCACAGATGTATCAAAAACACCTTCCGGTTCTGGTGCAGGAGTTTTCAGTCCAGATTCAGACAGAGATATCAACCTGCCTAGGAACCTATGCGACTGTATTTCAAGCGGTAATTTACGCTATTGAATTGTGTGCAGAGAGATTGGAAGGATTCAACCTCATACACAAGTCAATAAAAATATTCTCGGACACTCAGGCGGTGTTGGAAGCTCTTGGTTCCTACCGAGCAACGTCTAAATTGATAATCAATTGCCAAAAACGATTCTTTTCGATATGAAGACTTAAGAGATTATCTCTGGTCTGGATTCCTGGCCACACTGGCCTGGAAGGCAATGAGCTTCAGCTTTAGCTTCATCGGACCAGATCCTGGCGTTGACATCGCTTTAGGCTTTGTCAAACAAAGATTGAACACCTGGATGGCAAGAAGATGTATGAACTTCTGGCAAAATATTCCAGGATTGGCTCACTCCAAGGCATTTATTCACCCTGCGAAGCTCTATACCAAACAGTTGTTGGACTACATTAGGGATGAACTACGATGTCTAACAGGCCTTCTTATAAGTCACTGTCATTTGAATCATCATATGCAGAGACTCGGACTGTCGGAAAACAGTGTGTGTCGCCTCTGTTTGGAAAATGATGAAACAGCAGAGCACATACTTTGTGTTTGCTCCGCTGGGGACCAAATCAGGTTTTCAGAGTTTGATGGAGCCGTACTCTTACCATCTAACCCTAAATGCACTCACCATACAAACTAATCGGTTTCGTTAAGAAGCTGGCTTCATTTGGTTGAGTGTGAATAGGCGCTAGCCACAATGAACCCTTGCGGGTTGCGGTGGAGGGTCCAATAGACCCACTCATTTTAAACCTATCTAAATCAATGAACTATATCTAAATCATGATGAACCTAAAGAAGCTAAGAAATATGCTAGCTATTTGTGAAAGCTTTGTGAAAACAATATGGGAAACATATTACTCAACGCAAAACCCAAAAGGGATAAGTGGTACATATAATCAGGTACATATAGACCAGAATGTGGTGACTGTTCAGTAGCTTATGCAGGCCTGACATGCAAAAATTCCAAAATAAGGTACCGTGGGCATATTTTATCAGATAAAAAATCAGCTATATATGCACAAAAGGCACATCTACAAGGAACAAACCACTCAATCAATGGATAAAACATGAAAATTTTACATACGTGCAGTGAAGAAAGGGAGATGAATTTGTTGGAAGCATTGGAAATGAATTAATTGAATAAAAATTATCAACTAGAACTATGCAGCATGTCATTTGTGAATTTTGAGATCTGGTTTAGGATCTATTGGTATTTGCAGCAATCCATATGTAGTTGTAGTTTTCAAACTACTTTTGAAGACGTTTTTGATTGAAGTATTTTATCAATCCTTTTTTTTTCTAAATAAATCATCAAAACAAAAACATCTCCTAGCAACTCCTAGCATACTCCGTTTGGAGAAAATTGTAGGGCACTACATTACACTACTTTAAAAAAAATTGAACACAAAAATGAACTCTTCTTCCAAAGCAAGTTACATAATTAGATTTTTTCGGATTTTCATTTTTATTTTCTGACTTCCTCTTGAGAATTCCATTTGGTGTATTTGGAAATTTTGCATTTCCAGGTAAATTTTCATTTGATGATTCTATAAAAGCTGTCTCCAACCTATCAATCGAAATATTCTTTCTTTTTCCATTCACTGAAAGTGTAATATATTTTTCGGTTTTTTGTAACACCTTGTAGAAACTAGAATAAGGAGTTTCTTCAGCCAAGATAATAAGATAACATTTGGAGTCATTTGCCCTGAGGCAAGATCCTTCATTGCCCTCATTGCTGATAGATCTGACTAGGTTTTCTGTCGTCAAGACTGAATAACTTTGACATTTTTTTTCGTCTGATACTTGATAAATTCTGATGAGTTGAATTCTTAGTAGTTCATATGAATCTGAAGAATTTTTGTGTTGTATTGTAACAAGATTTGGATTTTCTTCAACAATCTACAATCTTACAATCTTAAACTGTCAGTATCTTTCCACATTTGATTTTATTGAAATGTATGGTATGTAGGTTAAAAAAAATTCTACTCTATTGAACCACAGTTCAGGTTCAGTGTTCCAGAAGTATGGAAGTGATAGATTTTGCACGATTGAATTCAGTTTCTGGCTCCATACTTTTTACCAGGTACACAAATACAAATACATATTTCAATATAAATATCAAATATATTTGTACAGGAGCATGAAGAAACTCTCCCTCAGTTATCGCAAAGGTGCGATTTTGTTCCATCCTTTTCATAAAAGAGGACGTATGCTTCTTTACTCACAAGCGATTTTGGTGAAACTGGTGACATGAGTGAATCTTTTCATTTGTGCCACATGCCAGTATACGGGTGTATGCTGTATAATGCCCTCTGTCCCACTGTGATTTAAAAGTGTATATAGATTATAATTTTTCTGCTGCAAAATTGTGCATATCCTATTCTTTCTAGAGGAAATTTGATGACACTATTCAATTCACCTCCAAATCTTTCTGTTGAAGAGAATATTTTTAAATGAATCACTGAAATATGGGGAAACTTGTGGGTTAATAGGAACTTTGTGAATTTTCTCCTTTCCTTGCATATCGAACACGTCGGTTTTTCATTTCCACCCAGAGTTTCTTTACTTGTGAACGAATCCAAGCATTGCTGCAAACTCAATTGGTCGGTTCTTTGTGATATGGAGAGAGACAACTCCCAGAAAGGATCAAAGGTTACTGATGAATGTCCACAGTGTGTGCATTTCATCGTGGATTTCAATTGACCAACGAAATTACCTACAATCTTAGAGTTATGCTTTCTCAAGTATGTGAGCCATGACTTTTGTGTATTTCCGCTGTCGCTCAATTTTTTGTCAATCTCCGTTGAGATTTGTTCAGGTACCTCATTAATTATATTAACATCTTCATGTAAACCTTCTATTAGATAAGGAAGAAAGTCCTGGGCGTCTTGACGGACATTACCTATAAATCTAGGAGCAAAACTTTGAATAACATTTTTCAAGGAGACTGTATTTAATATTGTATCAAATGAATCTTCTGACCATAACTCCTTGATGACTTCTGCAAACGCTTTACTTATCAGAAAACAGTGCGCCACCGGAGACTGTTGTGCAAAACTTTTGGTTATCGCCTTTTGTCGTGAAATTAGTGCGTGATCTGAAATGGATTCCGAAAAAAATACCATCCACGAAAATGGCTTCGATAATGGTTCTCTCGAAATTTGCCCGACGGTACCTGAACGCGAATATACACAAAGAGGTAGGTATGCTTACTACTGGACTGTGCGACTTGGATTTTGGTGGATTAGAATGTTTCGAAAGATGTTGAACTAGCTAAATAATTGTCTATTGAATAATTAGTATAGAAAGTGACAAATAACGTGCTAGGAATCACACGTTAAAAGGTAAGACCTCGTTAGTCCTAAGCTCGCACAAGTTTCTCAACTTCTGAGAGTTGTCGTTCGTATGGGGGCGACAGCTGATTAACGGAAAAACAGATTTTAAACAGTAAAATTATATACTTCTGAAAAATTTATGAAATAGTGATAGATTTCTTCATACTAAACGAAACAAAAAATCAATTCATAGCTTAGTTTTTCAATTTGTTAACCCACGAAAAAAGAAACCTTTGAATATTCAACCTGGCAAAAAAATTGGCCTTGTATCTGAATATAATATTTGAATGATCTAGGTATATAGTTTCTTGAATAATTTCCAGTAAAAACTCTAATATACAGTGTGTAAAAGCCAAATGGAATATATTCATTATTTCGGTTACGGTACATATTTTAACAAAATCTCGAAAATAATGAATTAGTTAATTTCTCATGGAATAGGCGAGCTACTTCCTGTTGTGTTCGGGTTTTATCTCCGTAACCAATCATTTGTAAAACTGTTATTTTATGTATTTCCGTTAATATAACCATTTGTGAGACTTGAAGTTAACGAACTTGAAACTTTAATCGGAATACTGACAACTAATGTTGTGATATACAAAACAAGTTGACCAGGCGTTTCAAACTAACGTTGCCACGGAAACTATTTATAGTTTTTTAATGGATACCATCTAAAAAGAACATTGTTATGGTTTTGCTCACTTTCTTATTATCAATACTTCAACATGAATTAAGTTTTGATTACATTGCAATAAGTTTTGAGTGTATTTTATCGAATTTCGGTAACCATATGATTTTAATTTATTTTATCTTTATTGTTCCGATACATTCGAAAGCGATAACATTTTTGAATAGAGAATGAAGATACCTTTCAAACGATGTATCACAAGTCTATACTTCCCATTCAAAAAATTGGGGTTGTACCTGTCATTCGACGCGGGTTGAAAGTAGGGGTAGCATTTTTCCGCAGAAGTATGTCAATTTATAATACAAATTTGACGGGTTTCAGGATTTTGTTAAAATATGTACCGTAACCATAATAATGAATTCATTCCATTTGACTTTTCCACATTGTAATTTCTTTGAAAAACATTTTTTGAGGAGGACTCAATATTTCTTACTGTTTTTTGAGAAAAAACATTGTTTTTCGAAACATCGACCACTAAAGAAAGCTGACTATGATTTTTCAACATATACTTTTCTAATTACTCATGATCGTCAAAATTAATGAGATTTATCATACAAAATAGTTCATTTCCAAAAGCAAAAACTTGTATTCATATAATTAATTACCTACTGGAATGTATTTTAGAGAATTTTTTTTTTTGGAAAACCTCTTCGACTTTCTATTTCTCAACTGATACATAAATAGATGGAACTATCGACAAAAGTGAGAAGTAAAGGAAAAAAAACAAAATCTCTCGATTAGATATATACATCATATATCTCATTTTGGAAATATAAAAACACGTAATATACATGTCGAGTACAAGTTTCCTTCAGCTACAAAACGAAAGGAAAAAAATATCCGAAACACTGATAATACTTCTCATCTATCATTCCATTACATTCGTAATGGAATTGAAATAGATATCATCAAGAATATAATTACGAATAATTGACACTGTCAAAAACATATTTTCTCGAAGAAAATGCACGATATCATTCATATTACTTATTAATCTCATCTGATTATTTTGGTTCCAACCACAGAAATTATATTTATCACTTCGGCTCAGGCAAAGCTCTCTGGCTTACAGAGATAGGCCTATCTGGCCATCAGTACCACACCGTCAGTGGCCTTGGATATTCTTATAAATCTACCTCCCCTCCACATTTTTCTGAAAGCTAGATGCACTGCATATAGACTTGTGCACATCGCCAATTGCACAAATCAATTCAATTCAGAGTACACTAGACTGCTGATTGACACTGGAACTCACAGAGCATTCTGGGAATGACCTCTGATATTATGCCTCCAACTGTCAACTACGAACTGCCTCATGCAGTACTTTTCCCAGTAAATAGGAGTGGATCATCCGGGAGAAGGAAATATTAAGAGCACATAGTTGTTGGTTCACAGATGGATCAAAAACAGCTTCACGCTCTGGTGCAGGTGTTTTCAGTCGCAGGCCCAGGACAAAGATATCAACATGCCTAGGAACCTATGTGACTGTATTTCAAGCAAAAATCTATTCTATTGAATTGTGGTTGGAGAGATTAGTAGAATCCAACCTATACACAAGTCAATAAAAATATTGTCGGACAGTCAAGCGGCATTGGAAGCTCTTGACTTCTACCAAGCAACGTCTAAATTAGTAGTAAATTGCCAAAAACGACTCTCAAAAAATTGTATCTGGTCGGGATTCCTGGTCATACTGGACTGGAAGGCAATAGGGCTGCTGATTCCCTTACAACGGAGGGTGCTGCAAGCAGCTTCATCCCCATACACTGTCTTCACCATCGAAAGACAGTGTATGTCGCCCCCGTTTGGAAAATGATGAAACAGCAGAGCATACACTTGGTGCCTGCTCACTGTAGACCGAATCAAGTTTTCAGAGTTTGGAAGAGCCACACTCTTACCATCTGACCTGAAAGATCACTTACCAAATAAACTATTCGGCTTCGTTAAGAGGCTGGGTTTATTTGGTCGAGTTTGAATAGGTGTGATCCACAATAAACCATATGTAAAAATTTCAGCCATACTAAAATATTTTGATTTTTTTTCAAAATTAGCGTCTGGCACAGTGTCAAAAAGTTCAATTGAAACAACATTAGAAAAACCTTTTTGAAATTGAATATGTCACCTGAACAGTTACGATGCGCACTGATAAACGCTAACACTACCGCCAACCAGATCGCCCGTATGACGTCCCGGAGAGTGAGAAAGATAGTACCTATATCTAAAAACTGGCCTACCTGAAATTCTTGTTTTTTCGACGTTCTTAGTTCTCGTACCATATACCTACCCCGGGTGCTGCTGAAGATTCGCTTGGGTCCTCAGTTATCTCCAGCTGTGAAACTTGTTTTTATATTACTAACACAAATTGCAGCCAATTTACGACTGTAATGCCAAAGGCAGTTGTTTGTTAATTTTTGATTCCTGAATGCGAAAATGATAGTAAAAATTTCCTAACACGTAAGATTTTTCAGTTATGATTTTTTTCACAAAAATTTAATGAACACGACATTCCAAATTTGCTTTTCCCCTAAATTGTGGAAATTGTTTGAAATCTGGCAACACAGCGGCTCTGCCCTGTATTCGAATTTGCCTTCGCTGTTTATGAGACTCGTAACCGCGCTTCTCAAACTTCTGATACCAGAAGATTTCAGAAAATACCAGAAATACGGGACCGCCTTAAAAGTAGCAGGTTGACAATCGGATAATCAATATTGGTTTAACACGAGTCAGTTAGTATTAGAGGAGCGAGTTGAGCGAACACGTGACGTACGCAACAGTACAAAAATGTCCAAAGTACAGAAACATGGCTGCGTCAATCCCGCAGCTAGTTTTTGTTAATATGTGGTCATTTTACTCCTAAATTGCAGAAACGACCAATTAACCAAATGACCAAAGTAGCTTACCATAAGTATTTTGGATAAGTTGTTGGTGATCAAGATCGGGATTGGGATCCTCACGTATGTTGCCAAACCTGTGCAGCAAATATAAGTAACTAGTTAAATGGCAAACGCTCTTCTATGCCTTCTGCAGTTCCAACGATTTAGCAAGAAACAACAAATCATTACAACGACTGTTAGTTTTGCATGACAAACGTGTTTGGTTTTTCAAGAAAGAGCAAACACAAAATTGTATATCCGGATATTCCTTCTGCAAGAAAGCCGGTTCTTAATGGAAAAGGTTTACCAGTTCCAACACCCCCGCCAAATTGGGAGGAAGATTTGGAAATGTATGATGACCAGGAAGGTTCCCATGATGTGCCGGAAAAAGACGGTTCTTATTTTTTCGAGAATGAAGGAAGAACACCCTACTCAATCCAAAAACCTGAATTAAATGACCTAGTTCGGGGCCTCCACTTGTCCAAAGAGAATGCTGGATATTAGGGTCTAGATTACAATAATGGAATTTACTAGTGTCTAAAACCAAAGTTGAAATATTTAGGAACCGTAACCTTGAGCTATCCTTGTTTTTTACTATGCAGGATAAAATGTGTGTTTGTGTAAATCCAAACGGTGTGATGAAAGAATTAGGATTTGCACATAACCTGGACGAACAAGAATGTAGAAAATTACTGAACAATTGTAGAAGAACTACTTGAAAACTACTGCAGAATGGGATGTCGCATGTCTCTCAAAATCCATTTCTTGCACTTCCATTTGAATTTTTTCTCAGAAAATTTGGGTGCTGTCAGTGACGAATAAGGGAAAAGGTTCCACCAAGACATATTGATAATGGAGTAATGTTACCAAGGCAGCTGGGATGCAGCAATGATAGGGGATTTTATTGTTGGTTCCTTATCCTTGGCTCCTTTAATGGAAACACCCCTCTAAAATTTGAAGTTATAAACCGATTTTAATAATTTTTTTTTNCGAATGTGATGAGAGATCTCAAATTTCCTGAATTCAAGAAATTATCGTCCGGTTGTTGAATTTGCTGCGAAGCAATATAAATGCCGTTTAGTCCTTTTACTTTGTATACATCCACAAATGATTCGTTAGACACATCTCTGGAAATAAAACAACTTGTTAATGTATAAATACTTGCCTTGCGTTCACTTTTTAGTTTTCAAGTCTTCACATTTTTGAACGGATCTTCTGGTACATTATCTGATGAAAGATATAGATACCAAACTTATCTCCTTGTCGTTGAATGAAACTGGCCGATATTTGATGAAAATCCACGCCA